CTTCCCAATGCCACTCAAATATAAAAAATATAAATGTAGCAGATAAAGATTGTGGGTACTTTTAACGTAAACAAGTTAATTGGAGAACTTTTATTAGAATTTACGACTGCCAATTACAATCAAGACTCAATAACCATCGATTCGAACCTTGAAGGCTTGTTAAGCCTATCTGATCGAAAAAAAGTCGATTGTTTCCGCGATTTAGAAGGAACAGGGATATCTTCATCGGATCGGGTCGCAGGACATAACTTGGAACGTGGCTGTGTAAAGTAGGAGGCGAGACCAGCAGTGTCCTTGATGCCAGTTTCTCCTAACAAGGGTTGCCGGCTAGGTCTGCTCAACTGGCAACGCGACCAAATGAACGTCCCATAAAGGGACACGTTCGGCCTTTCCCAGAAAGACCAACCGGGATTCCAAGGGAATCCTCAGTAACATTTTTTTTCTAAGAAGGGAAATACTTGACGTATACTTTTTGTTACAAGTAATAATAAAATGCAAAATATCAATCTTATTCATTTTTTATTTATTGTCTCATCTGAAGAGATTCTCATTAATATTTTTAGAATGAAAAACCTGAAATTTATATTTATTGAAATTTATAAATATATTCTGTCTCATTTTCATGAATTAAGGAGAGAAAAAATGTTCAAATAATATCTCATTGATTTCTTGTTTCTCTGTCTGAAGAACTTCGCACTTTCATTTCACATACAAAGTATCTAAAATTGCCGTCTGGCCCGGTTAAGAGCGAATTAAAAGTCGACATAACTCCTCTCCCTACCTAATTTACATTTATGCCTCCAATAAAGAAGCTCGTTCGACCGCGGACAGCTGGATGCATATTACCGTACGTTGCGCGGGGTGGCCGCGGCATGAATCAGGATTTTAATATCCACCTCCGCGTCGCCTTGGGTCCTATCGTCCCTTCTCGCTGAATGACGTCATTGTCTCTGGTTAAAGGCAGCGAGCGACTACAATATTTTGGCAGACGTCGTCCGGTCTCGCTCGAAAAGGAGAACACTCGACCCATTGTGCACCGTTGCACCGGTCCAGCCTCTAGCTAAGGCCTCTTTCACACGATAATGAGAAGTCACGTAAAACCGGGAGGGGATCGATAACCGTGAATGAATCACGAAACTATTACTAGCCGACCTTAACCCGAGCATCGAGCAATTCCTCGTTCATTCACCGTTAAAGCTGTTTAATTACGCGGCTAAACACTTTTCCGTGCTCGTGGGAAAACGGTCTGGGCAAATGTAGATCAATGCCAGTAACATGATTCTATGCACCCGCATCGATTGGAAAAAAAGGGTCGGACAACTGCTCCCTATTCACACTCTAAATCTTTTTTTTCAGAGGCTGACAGTACTGCATCGTTGAATATTCATCAACGTCCACACCGTTAATATACTGAATCTACTACGATGAATCTGAGCAATTATTTAACAATATTGTTAATCTTGCGATTTATTCTTGTTTTAATATGTCAGGAATAATTAGCGATGTGATAATTAATTGAGTACTTCTGAAGTATTCGAGATAGGAAACAATTGTGTACGACCGTTTTTGCAGGTAATAGTATCACCTACAACTTTTATTTGAAGCATTTTTCGATATTTTGAGAAAAAAAAAATTTTCAATTTTTCCGAGATTTTTCCAAGGGGTACCCCTTCAGATTTCGCGAAATTTTCGTTTTTTGCCAATAACTTCTAAACCGTTAGACTTACGAGAAAAT